GGGGGGGAGGCGGGTGGCTATGGCTGCTCGGTGGGGCCGCCCGACGGGCCACAGCGCCGCCCGCAGGCCGCCGGCCACCTAGGTGCTTAAACCGGGCCGCCTGGGATTGGCTGGCGTGGCCCAGTGACGTCACCTTACGCCGGGGCGGGGACTGTGACCCCGCCCTCCTCGCACCCAGGCAACGCAGAGACCATGCGTGACGACGCCGGCTGAGGTCGGGCCTCGGCGCCGTCGCGTGCTGTTCACGTCAGAGCAGGCGCACGGACTGTGCAGGGACACGAGTCCTGCTTATGCCTTTATTGAGCTTACCGCGCTTAGAAGGGATTTTGTTAATTTAGCTCTTTGTCTCTCCTCTCACAAACATAAACTCCATCAGAGGTGGGGGCATTTGATGACCTCCGTAATTTGAGAGAATGAATGACCCTGAAGATCTCGAAATCTGGCTCAATGGATTTCAAACTTTTTGGTCTCAGGACTCCTTCACACTTAGAAGTTATTAGGACCTTAAAGAGCTTTTGTTTATGTAGAATACGTATGGTGATAGATAAATGCTTGCTTTTTAAGAAGTTAAAACAGAAGAAAAATTTAAATGTATTACTTCATTTAAAAATAACAGTAATAAGAGCCAGCTGGTGACTCCCTCGGGAGAGTGTGGTGTTGATAACACCAAGGCCATGGGTTCGGATCCCTACATAGGGATGGCTGGTTAGCTCACTTGGGAGAGTGTGATGCTGACAACACCAAGTCAAGGGTTAAGATCCCCTTACCGGTTATCTGAGTAATAAATCCATTACTAGTTATCAATAGAACAGTGACATCACATATGTAATCCAGAAAACTCACTGAATGAAAACAGAAATAGCTCTGAATATTGTTATGCATAGTTTGACCTCATTAATCCCATGAAAGGACCCCAGAACCCCTGGGGACCACACTTTGAGCTAGTTTAACCTCCTCTTTTTATATGTACAAGTAATAATGTCCAGAGAAGTAAAGTAACTTAAAGATCACACTGCTATTATGCGAAATAACAGTTTTGAAACCAGAGTTCTGCTGGTAGCCCAGGGTCATATTCTTCTTATGTTTTCTCAAGCAAAGCAGACATCTCCATTTAAAAGATAATGCCGAGGCACAGAGAGCCTAAGGAGATGTCTGATTCCCACCACCACCTAGTGGTGGACACCTGCTTTGTCAGATTTGGGATCCAGGGCCTCCCACTTCTTACTGGGCCTCTCACCATCCACTCATCTCCTGAACCCAGGCCTTGTGCCTGGGTGGGAGCTAACCAGATTCAAGGAGTCTGACAGGGGAGACAAGAATGCATAAATATACAGAAACATAAATATGGACACAGGGTCACATTTGGTTAGATGCATACGTGTCCTGTTTGTTGAGTGGTGTGTTAAGTGTTAAAAGAGTACAGAGACATCCCTGAGGACTAATACAGTGAGGGAAAGCCTCAAAAAAGGTATAGTTTGAACTGGGGGCAGATGGGAGGCTCTTGAGGCCAGAAGAGACAAGAGAGCAAATCTCTCCCAGCTGTCAGCCAGAGGTGAGCAATAATAGCGGTGGTAGACGTGAATCTGACCACACTAACTTTATGAGCCATACAGAAATGCCTATAAACCAACCCAGATGAACCACACAAAACACATGTTCTGTGCATATTAAAGGACCACACATCTGACAAGAGATGGCTATAAATGCTAGATGTCTAATAAAGAACGAAGGCTGGAACCAGATTGAAAGGGTGCACGGACGAAGGAAGCACGCGAGACCTGGGCTGACAGTTCACCAGAGAAGTTCCACTTTATTCAAGGACTGCGTGTACATTTATAGGGAGTTGCGTTCCAGGTTTGGATAGGGGTTGGACGGGACGGTAGCTGATTGGACGGGGCTGGGCAGGAAGTGAGCCCTGACCTGTGACTGGCTGAGGTTTTGGCGCCGGTGGTCTTTTACTGCGGAGAAGAACCTGGAAGGGTGCCATATTGCCAGGGAGTGCCTTCTCCCTCCCCCTCTGCTTGAGTGCCCACAATATCCTTACATTCCTCCCTTTTTCCTCTGTTGTGGGAATGGGTCATCGTAATCTCTGAGCTGCTTCCTGCTGAATGGGGGAGTAGTGGGGGAAGAGGAATTGGAAGGAAACAAGAGACCCACCATTAGACCCCAGAGAAAAGCAGAATATACAGTGATTTCAAAGGGGGAAAACTCTAGAAAAGTTCCCTGAAGCCACAGGTCAGTTATTTGCTGAGTACAGTGAGGGTAGGAGGTTGTAGGGGAGAGCATCCAGGCATCCGCGGCCAAAACTTCCAGGAACAGGGACCATTGGTGATGTAGATCCATTTAACAGCGGGTTAGCCGATTCGATGAAGAGCGGGTAGGATCCTCGGTGGCCAGGAGCTGGTAATTTCTAAGTAAAAGCTGGTTAAAAGTTTGGTTAGAAATTCTTCCAAGTTGGGGCCGGCCCAGTGGTGCACTGGAGAGTGCGCCACTTGGGAGCGCGGCGGCACTCCCGCCGAGGGTTCGGATCCCATGTGGAGACCGGTTCCCGCTCACTGGCTGAGCACGGTGCAGGTGCAACACCGAGGGTTGCGATTCCATTGCTGGTCAGTAAAAAAGACAAAAAGAAAAAAAAAAAAAAAGAAATTCTTCCAAGTTGAGTTCGAATGAATTTTATAATGCAGGGCAGAAAAAGACAGGCTATAAATATAACAGTGAGAGGTCCTAATATTGGCCATGCCCAGGTGAGAAGTGAGCCTTGGAAAAAAGAGGAGAAAGGATCAGGGCTGTTGGCTCTGAGGTCTGAGGCTAGGTTGGTGAGCTTGACAATATTGGTTTCTACTAGTCCTGATTCATTGATATAATAGCAACATTCTTCCTGGAGGAAGATGCAAGTGCCACCCTTTTCTGCCGTGAGGAGGTCTAATGCGCGGCGGTTTTGTAGGGTAACTTTAGCTAGGGAGGTGATTTGTCTTTGTAAGGCAGGTAGAGATTCAGCTGTGGAAGTGAGGGCCTTTTGTAGTTTGTTATTAACATCTTTTACCACCCATAGAGTATGTCCCAAGACCCTGCCCAACAGGCCAGTTGCAACAATTGATGCTGTTAAGGACATTCCCACTAGGACTGGGAGAAAGACGGCTCGAGGCTGTCTTGGGGGTGGATGGAAAAGGTGAAAAAGCTCTGTGCAGGAATAGAAGGTTAGTTGGGG